TAACTTACACATTTTGCCGACTGTCACATTTTGCTGGTGCTGTTTCAAGATGTATTCAAATGGGTGTGCATTTGCTGGCCAATAGTTTTAAACACCATCTGCATGGACCTCATGTTTTTCCTGTACCAATCACCATGAACCTAAAAAAAAAATCAATACAATAAATGGCACAATATCACATTTGCAGACAGACAGACAAATAGACATTCAACACGTACAATTTTACCATATTCCTTTTATGCCCATTACTTGAAATTAATTAATTTAAAAAATGATTAATTTGCTCCCACCTGAAATCACACTGTTTACATTAGTAATTAAGTTAATTCAGCAGAATTGGTAAAAATCATGTTTTACTGACAATAATTGAACATTCAACAAATACATGTAATGCAATTGCTAAAAAATATGAGAAAAATCAGTTAATGTGCATGTTCACACACATCGTTTAACTCCCAGACAACTGTAACCAGCTTGACCGCGCAACTGATCTGAAATGATGTATGTCAAGTATGTATGTGACGTGCCGATCATCGACATGTTCCAAAAACATTAAATTGTTATTTACAAATATTGTACTAAGGTATACCTCTTACCTCCTGTGTAAAATACAAATGCCCATCACCTATATACTGCTAAACATTGCACTGAACAGTTTTGATAACTTTCTGCTAAGTCTACTTTCACTTCGACCTTGACCCCGATTGAATACCGATCCCGAACTCATTTGTGAATTTTTGTGTATTGAAAATAAACCACAGTGGAGCATGTACTTCTACATAATTGCTTCTTAATCAAATTATACATTTATGATTCTGAATAAATAAATTATATAAATCGATACATTTAATCTACATGATACATGTGTAAACAATGGGTGATACATGTATGAGCATGTTGACTGTTCGGGGGGGGGGGGGGGGGTAGACACTTTATTTATGAATCAATTTGTTTAAAAATGTGTATCAACAATATAAGAATTGTTTTTTTTCATAAATTTGAACAATTGAAAATAATAGAAAACACCAACTTTGAAATAAATTCAAGATTTATGACATCTTTCACTTACTTATAGGCTTCCTAATATGGGTACAGTCCACTAATTGTTTTCCCATAGGCGACAATGTTAACGTTTCTTCTCATAGCGATGTCCCTAATTTTCGTTCAGAAGTGAGTGACCCCTCAAATCAAAGCACATCAACTTGTCTTTCCTTGGTTAAAATCTCGAGGTGGCATGTCAGATTCGTTTTCCGGCAAAATGCGTCTGTCTGCGGGAACCTCTAAAAATGAAAGTGAAAGTAGGGGAATTTCAGAATTCTCACTGGCGTTATAATACACAAAATAATTCAGCTGATCTTCTTGATAAATTACATTTTCAAAGCTTTTTTGGTAGGAAAGATACTATTTATCAACAAGTGTGAGGCTCAGTTCAGTACATCTGCCCAATTTTTTTTATGCAAGTCTGCAAATTAAGGAACTTGTAATTTTTTCTGCACTACTTTCTTCTCCTACCGATTCTAAAAATAATTAGTGGGATGTACCCAATATGAAAAAGCATTTTTTTGATTTTACAATATTTCACACTGTTTGTCAATCTAGAGCATAAGTAGAGACATCATGCCAAGTTTCATGAAAATTCAACAATTAATTAAGATTTTACAGCATTTACAGTTCTATGTGTAATATCCTTAAAAAATGCTCCAATCTAGCCAAAACTGCACCCAAGTTTTAAGTCAAATTTTAGCCTTTTAACACATTTATACCATTCTTAATCACCTTCATAACTTTAAATACATATAGTCAAATCATAATCAAGCACTTAATTGGGTCAATTTCACTTATTTTAAAAAATTAATGTATTTCCGCACAAAATATGACCACTTTTCACCCTCTAATTCATAGTTTCTCCAGAAATGACAAAAAAATGAAGTTCACAAATACCCCGAAAGTAGTAAAATAAAAAAGTACTGATTATTTCCTGTCCATTGATGTATCATTCATGAAATTTGGTCTATGAATAAAAAAGTTATAAGCCTTTATAATCTTTTATAGAATCATTTGTTTCAAAGCAATTTTTATACCAATGCAAATTTACTCATCTATGACGTCACAATGACATCATAATAATGGATAGCTCAATACATGTGTATCATTACTTTTCCCGTACTTTTCATTTAAGACAAAATCAGTGCTTATATACTATTATTAACTTTAAAAAATAAAAATATGTGGTTTTGCAGATTAAATAAATAATCCACTAAAGTTGTTTTGTTTCCATGGTAACCATTTTGTAGGAAAATGAGACAAAATTTTGAATTTCCTGACAAATCGCATAATTTTGACTGTCAAATATTCATGAAATTTCAATTCTTATATCCGTGTAATCTTAATAATGCATAATTTACAAAACAAAGATGTAGATCTAATTAATTTGAAATTCTTAAATAAGAAAAAAAATCTATATAAGCTGCAAAATGTATATAGCAGTGCATGTACAGATTAGTTATAGCTAAATACTTTCACATTCTGATCACCTATTAAATATGTAAATTTCCTCACCCCCACCCCATCCCCCACTTCAATGAATTTTTTTTTTTTTAGAAAACTTTAACTTACACATTTTGCCGACTGTCACATTTTGCTGGTGCTGTTTCAAGATGTATTCAAATGGGTGTGCATTTGCTGGCCAATAGTTTTAAACACCATCTGCATGGACCTCATGTTTTTCCTGTACCAATCACCATGAACCTAAAAAAAAAATCAATACAATAAATGGCACAATATCACATTTGCAGACAGACAGACACATAGACATTCAACACGTACAATTTTACCATATTCCTTTTATGCCCATTAACTTGAAATTAATTAATTTAAAAAATGATTAATTTGCTCCCACCTGAAATCACACTGTTTACATTATAATTAATTAAGTTAATTCAGCAGAATAGGTAAAAATCATGTTTTACTGACAATAATTGTACATTCAACAAATACATGTAATGCAATTGCTAAAAAATATGAGAAAAATCAGTTAATGTGCATGTTCACACACATCGTTTAACTCCCAGACAACTGTAACCAGCTTGACCGCGCAACTGATCTGAAATGATGTATGTCATGTATGTGACGTGCTGATCATCGACATGTTCCAAAAACATTAAATTGTTATTTACAAATATTGTACTAAGGTATACCTCTTACCTCCTGTGTAAAATACAAATGCCCATCACCTATATACTGCTAAACATTGCACTGAACAGTTTTGATAACTTTCTGCTAAGTCTACTTTCACTTCGACCTTGACCCCGATTGAATACCGATCCCGAACTCATTTGTGAATTTTTGTGTATTGAAAATAAACCACAGTGGAGCATGTACTTCTACATAATTGCTTCTTAATCAAATTATACATTTATGATTCTGAATAAATAAATTATATAAATCGATACATTTAATCTACATGATACATGTGTAAACAATGGGTGATACATGTATGAGCATGTTGACTGTTCAGGGGGGGGGGGGGGGGGGGGGGGGGGTAGACACTTTATTTATGAATCAATTTGTTTAAAAATGTGTATCAACAATAAAAGAATTGTTTTTTTTCAAAAATTTGAACAATTGAAAATAATAGAAAACACCAACTTTGAAATAAATTCAAGATTTATGACATCTTTCACTTACTTATAGGCTTCCTAATATGGGTACAGTCCACTAATTGTTTTCCCATAGGCGACAATGTTAACGTTTCTTCTCATAGCGATGTCCCTAATTTTCGTTCAGAAGTGAGTGACCCCTCAAATCAAAGCACATCAACTTGTCTTTCCTTGGTTAAAATCTCGAGGTGGCATGTCAGATTCGTTTTCCGGCAAAATGCGTCTGTCTGCGGGAACCTCTAAAAATGAAAGTGAAAGTAGGGGAATTTCAGAATTATCACTGGCGTTATAATACACAAAATAATTCAGCTGATCTTCTTGATAAATTACATTTTCAAAGCTTTTTTGGTAGGAAAGATACTCCTTATCAACAAGTGTGAGGCTCAGTTCAGTACATCTGCCCAATTTTTTTTATGCAAGTCTGCAAATTAAGGAACTTGTAATTTTTTCTGCACTACTTTCTTCTCCTACCGATTCTAAAAATAATTAGTGGGATGTACCCAATATGAAAAAGCATTTTTTTGATTTTACAATATTTCACACTGTTTGTCAATCTAGAGCATAAGTAGAGACATCATGCCAAGTTTCATGAAAATTCAACAATTAATTAAGATTTTACAGCATTTACAGTTCTATGTGTAATATCCTTAAAAAATGCTCCAATCTAGCCAAAACTGCACCCAAGTTTTAAGTCAAATTTTAGCCTATTAACACATTTATACCATTCTTAATCAACTTCATAACTTTAAATACATATAGTCAAATCATAATCAAGCACTTAATTGGGTCAATTTCACTTATTTTAAAAAATTAATGTATTTCCGCACAAAATATGACCACTTTTCACCCTCTAATTCATAGTTTCTCCAGAAATGACAAAAAAATGAAGTTAACAAATACCCCGAAAGTAGTAAAATAAAAAAGAACTGATTATTTCCTGTCCATTGATGTATCATTCATGAAATTTGGTCTATGAATAAAAAAGTTATAAGCCTTTATAATCTTTTATAGAATCATTTGTTTCAAAGCAATTTTTATACCAATGCAAATTTACTCATCTATGACGTCACAATGACATCATAATAATGGATAGCTCAATACATGTGTATCATTACTTTTCCCGTACTTTTCATTTAAGACAAAATCAGTGCTTATATACTATTATTAACTTTAAAAAATAAAAATATGTGGTTTTGCAGATTAAATAAATAATCCACTAAAGTTGTTTTGTTTCCATGGTAACCATTTTGTAATTTGTAGGAAAATGAGACAAAATTTTGAATTTCCTGACAAATCGCATAATTTTGACTGTCAAATATTCATGAAATTTCAATTCTTATATCCGTGTAATCTTAATAATGCATAATTTACAAAACAAAGATGTAGATCTAATTAATTTGAAATTCTTAAATAAGAAAAAAAATCTATATAAGTGCAAAATGTATATAGCAGTGCATGTACAGATTAGTTATAGCTAAATACTTTCACATTCTGATCACCTATTTAATATGTAAATTTCCTCACCCCCACCCCATCCCCCACTTCAATGAATTTTTTTTTTAGAAAACTTTAACTTACACATTTTGCCGACTGTCACATTTTGCTGGTGCTGTTTCAAGATGTATTCAAATGGGTGTGCATTTGCTGGCCAATAGTTTTAAACACCATCTGCATGGACCTCATGTTTTTCCTGTACCAATCACCATGAACCTAAAAAAAAAATCAATACAATAAATGGCACAATATCACATTTGCAGACAGACAGACACATAGACATTCAACACGTACAATTTTACCATATTCCTTTTATGCCCATTACTTGAAATTAATTAATTTAAAAAATGATTAATTTGCTCCCACCTGAAATCACACTGTTAACATTATAATTAATTAAGTTAATTCAGCAGAATAGGTAAAAATCATGTTTTACTGACAATAATTGTACATTCAACAAATACATGTAATGCAATTGCTAAAAAATATGAGAAAAATCAGTTAATGTGCATGTTCACACACATCGTTTAACTCCCAGACAACTGTAACCAGCTTCACCGCGCAACTGATCTGAAATGATGTATGTCATGTATATGTGACGTGCCGATCATCGACATGTTCCAAAACACATTAAATTGTTATTTACAAATATTGTACTAAGGTATACCTCTTACCTCCTGTGTAAAATACAAATGCCCATCACCTATATACTGCTAAACATTGCACTGAACAGTTTTGATAACTTTCTGCTAAGTCTACTTTCACTTCGACCTTGACCCCGATTGAATACCGATCCCGAACTCATTTGTGAATTTTTGTGTATTGAAAATAAACCACAGTGGAGCATGTACTTCTACATAATTGCTTCTTAATCAAATTATACATTTATGATTCTGAATAAATAAATTATATAAATCGATACATTAAATCTCCATGATACATGTGTAAACAATGGGTGATACATGTATGAGCATGTTGACTGTTCCGGGGGGGGGGGGGGGGTAGACACTTTATTTATGAATCAATTTGTTTAAAAATGTGTATCAACAATAAAAGAATTGTTTTTTTCATAAATTTGAAAAATTGAAAATAATAGAAAACACCAACTTTGAAATAAATTCAAGATTTATGACATCTTTCACTTACTTATAGGCTTCCTAATATGGGTACAGTCCACTAATTGTTTTCCCATAGGCGACAATGTTAACGTTTCTTCTCATAGCGATGTCCCTAATTTTCGTTCAGAAGTGAGTGACCCCTCAAATCAAAGCACATCAACTTGTCTTTCCTTGGTTAAAATCTCGAGGTGGCATGTCAGATTCGTTTTCCGGCAAAATGCGTCTGTCTGCGGGAACCTCTAAAAATGAAAGTGAAAGTAGGGGAATTTCAGAATTATCACTGGCGTTATAATACACAAAATAATTCAGCTGATCTTCTTGATAAATTACATTTTCAAAGCTTTTTTGGTAGGAAAGATACTCCTTATCAACAAGTGTGAGGCTCAGTTCAGTACATCTGCCCAATTTTTTTTATGCAAGTCTGCAAATTAAGGAACTTGTAATTTTTTCTGCACTACTTTCTTCTCCTACCGATTCTAAAAATAATTAGTGGGATGTACCCAATATGAAAAAGCATTTTTTTGATTTTACAATATTTCACACTGTTTGTCAATCTAGAGCATAAGTAGAGACATCATGCCAAGTTTCATGAAAATTCAACAATTAATTAAGATTTTACAGCATTTACAGTTCTATGTGTAATATCCTTAAAAAATGCTCCAATCTAGCCAAAACTGCACCCAAGTTTTAAGTCAAATTTTAGCCTATTAACACATTTATACCATTTTTAATCAACTTCATAACTTTAAATACATATAGTCAAATCATAATCAAGCACTTAATTGGGTCAATTTCACTTTTTTTAAAAAATTAATGTATTTCCGCACAAAATATGACCACTTTTCACCCTCTAATTCATAGTTTCTCCAGAAATGACAAAAAAATGAAGTTAACAAATACCCCGAAAGTAGTAAAATAAAAAAGAACTGATTATTTCCTGTCCATTGATGTATCATTCATGAAATTTGGTCTATGAATAAAAAAGTTATAAGCCTTTATAATCTTTTATAGAATCATTTGTTTCAAAGCAATTTTTATACCAATGCAAATTTACTCATCTATGACGTCACAATGACATCATAATAATGGATAGCTCAATACATGTGTATCATTACTTTTCCCGTACTTTTCATATAAGACAAAATCAGTGCTTATATACTATTATTAACTTTAAAAAATAAAAATATGTGGTTTTGCAGATTAAATAAATAATCCACTAAAGTTGTTTTGTTTCCATGGTAACCATTTTGTAATTTGTAGGAAAATGAGACAAAATTTTGAATTTCCTGACAAATCGCATAATTTTGACTGTCAAATATTCATGAAATTTCAATTCTTATATCCGTGTAATCTTAATAATGCATAATTTACAAAACAAAGATGTAGATCTAATTAATTTGAAATTCTTAAATAAGAAAAAAAATCTATATAAGTGCAAAATGTATATAGCAGTGCATGTACAGATTAGTTATAGCTAAATACTTTCACATTCTGATCACCTATTAAATATGTAAATTTCCTCACCCCCACCCCATCCCCCACTTCAATGAATTTTTTTTTTTTAGAAAACTTTAACTTACACATTTTGCCGACTGTCACATTTTGCTGGTGCTGTTTCAAGATGTATTCAAATGGGTGTGCATTTGCTGGCCAATAGTTTTAAACACCATCTGCATGGACCTCATGTTTTTCCTGTACCAATCACCATGAACCTAAAAAAAAAATCAATACAATAAATGGCACAATATCACATTTGCAGACAGACAGACACATAGACATTCAACACGTACAATTTTACCATATTCCTTTTTTGCCCATTACTTGAAATTAATTAATTTAAAAAATGATTAATTTGCTCCCACCTGAAATCACACTGTTAACATTATAATTAATTAAGTTAATTCAGCAGAATAGGTAAAAATCATGTTTTACTGACAATAATTGTACATTCAACAAATACATGTAATGCAATTGCTAAAAAATATGAGAAAAATCAGTTAATGTGCATGTTCACACACATCGTTTAACTCCCAGACAACTGTAACCAGCTTCACCGCGCAACTGATCTGAAATGATGTATGTCATGTATGTGACGTGCTGATCATCGACATGTTCCAAAAACATTAAATTGTTATTTACAAATATTGTACTAAGGTATACCTCTTACCTCCTGTGTAAAATACAAATGCCCATCACCTATATACTGCTAAACACTGCACTGAACAGTTTTGATAACTTTCTGCTAAGTCTACTTTCACTTCGACCTTGACCCCGATTGAATACCGATCCCGAACTCATTTGTGAATTTTTGTGTATTGAAAATAAACCACAGTGGAGCATGTACTTCTACATAATTGCTTCTTAATCAAATTATACATTTATGATTCTGAATAAATAAATTATATAAACCGATACATTTAATCTACATGATACATGTGTAAACAATGGGTGATACATGTATGAGTATGTTGACTGTTCCGGGGGGGGGGGGGGGGGGGGGGGTAGACACTTTATTTATGAATCAATTTGTTTAAAAATGTGTATCAACAATAAAAGAATTGTTTTTTTCATAAATTTGAACAATTGAAAATAATAGAAAACACCAACTTTGAAATAAATTCAAGATTTATGACATCTTTCACTTACTTATAGGCTTCCTAATATGGGTACAGTCCACTAATTGTTTTCCCATAGGCGACAATGTTAACGTTTCTTCTCATAGCGATGTCCCTAATTTTCGTTCAGAAGTGAGTGACCCCTCAAATCAAAGCACATCAACTTGTCTTTCCTTGGTTAAAATCTCGAGGTGGCATGTCAGATTCGTTTTCCGGCAAAATGCGTCTGTCTGCGGGAACCTCTAAAAATGAAAGTGAAAGTAGGGGAATTTCAGAATTATCACTGGCGTTATAATACACAAAATAATTCAGCTGATCTTCTTGATAAATTACATTTTCAAAGCTTTTTTGGTAGGAAAGATACTCCTTATCAACAAGTGTGAGGCTCAGTTCAGTACATCTGCCCAATTTTTTTTATGCAAGTCTGCAAATTAAGGAACTTGTAATTTTTTCTGCACTACTTTCTTCTCCTACCGATTCTAAAAATAATTAGTGGGATGTACCCAATATGAAAAAGCATTTTTTTGATTTTACAATATTTCACACTGTTTGTCAATCTAGAGCATAAGTAGAGACATCATGCCAAGTTTCATGAAAATTCAACAATTAATTAAGATTTTACAGCATTTACAGTTCTATGTGTAATATCCTTAAAAAATGCTCCAATCTAGCCAAAACTGCACCCAAGTTTTAAGTCAAATTTTAGCCTATTAACACATTTATACCATTCTTAATCACCTTCATAACTTTAAATACATATAGTCAAATCATAATCAAGCACTTAATTGGGTCAATTTCACTTATTTTAAAAAATTAATATATTTCCGCACAAAATATGACCACTTTTCACCCTTTAATTCATCGTTTCTCCAGAAATGACAAAAAAATGAAGTTAACAAATACCCCGAAAGTAGTAAAATAAAAAAGTACTGATTATTTCCTGTCCATTGATGTATCATTCATGAAATTTGGTCTATGAATAAAAAAGTTATAAGCCTTTATAATCCTATATAGAATCATTTGTTTCAAAGCAATTTTTATACCAATGCAAATTTACTCATCTATGACGTCACAATGACATCATAATAATGGATAGCTCAATACATGTGTATCATTACTTTTCCCGTACATTTCATATAAGACAAAATCAGTGCTTATATACTATTATTAACTTTAAAAAATAAAAATATGTGGTTTTGCAGATTAAATAAATAATCCACTAAAGTTGTTTTGTTTCCATGGTAACCATTTTGTAATTTGTAGGAAAATGAGACAAAATTTTGAATTTCCTGACAAATCGCATAATTTTGACTGTCAAATATTCATGAAATTTCAATTCTTATATCCGTGTAATCTTAATAATGCATAATTTACAAAACAAAGATGTAGATCTAATTAATTTGAAATTCTTAAATAAGAAAAAAAATCTATATAAGTGCAAAATGTATATAGCAGTGCATGTACAGATTAGTTATAGCTAAATACTTTCACATTCTGATCACCTATTTAATATGTAAATTTCCTCACCCCCACCCCATCCCCCACTTCAATGAATTTTTTTTTTAGAAAACTTTAACTTACACATTTTGCCGACTGTCACATTTTGCTGGTGCTGTTTCAAGATGTATTCAAATGGGTGTGCATTTGCTGGCCAATAGTTTTAAACACCATCTGCATGGACCTCATGTTTTTCCTGTACCAATCACCATGAACCTAAAAAAAAAATCAATACAATAAATGGCACAATATCACATTTGCAGACAGACAGACACACAGACATTCAACACGTACAATTTTACCATATTCCTTTTATGCCCATTACTTGAAATTAATTAATTTAAAAGATGATTAATTGGCTCCCACCTGAAATCACACTGTTAACATAGGTATTTAAATTAATTCAGCAGAATAGGTAAAAATCATGTTTTACTGACAATAATTGTACATTCAACAAATACATGTAATGCAATTGCTAAAAAATATGAGAAAAATCAGTTAATGTGCATGTTCACACACATCGTTTAACTCCCAGACAACTGTAACCAGCTTCACCGCGCAACTGATCTGAAATGATGTATGTCATGTATGTGACGTGCTGATCATCGACATGTTCCAAAAACATTAAATTGTTATTTACAAATATTGTACTAAGGTATACCTCTTACCTCCTGTGTAAAATACAAATGCCCATCACCTATATACTGCTAAACATTGCACTGAACAGTTTTGATAACTTTCTGCTAAGTCTACTTTCACTTCGACCTTGACCCCAATTGAATACCGATCCCGAACTCATTTGTGAATTTTTGTGTATTGAAAATAAACCACAGTGGAGCATGTACTTCTACATAATTGCTTCTTAATCAAATTATACATTTATGATTCTGGATAAATAAATTATATAAATCGATACATTTAATCTATATGATACATGTGTAAACAATGGGTGATACATGTATGAGTATGTTGACTGTTCCGGGGGGGGGGGGGGGGGGGGGGGGGGGGGTACACTTTATTTATGAATCAATTTGTTTAAAAATGTGTATCAACAATAAAAGAATTGTTTTTTTCATAAATTTGAACAATTGAAAATAATAGAAAACACCAACTTTGAAATAAATTCAAGATTTATGACATCTTTCACTTACTTATAGGCTTCCTAATATGGGTACAGTCCACTAATTGTTTTCCCATAGGCGACAATGTTAACGTTTCTTCTCATAGCGATGTCCCTAATTTTCGTTCAGAAGTGAGTGACCCCTCAAATCAAAGCACATCAACTTGTCTTTCCTTGGTTAAAATCTCGAGGTGGCATGTCAGATTCGTTTTCCGGCAAAATGCGTCTGTCTGCGGGAACCTCTAAAAATGAAAGTGAAAGTAGGGGAATTTCAGAATTATCACTGGCGTTATAATACACAAAATAATTCAGCTGATCTTCTTGATAAATTACATTTTCCAAAGCTTTTTTGGTAGGAAAGATACTCCTTATCAACAAGTGTGAGGCTCAGTTCAGTACATCTGCCCAATTTTTTTTATGCAAGTCTGCAAATTAAGGAACTTGTAATTTTTTCTGCACTACTTTCTTCTCCTACCGATTCTAAAAATAATTAGTGGGATGTACCCAATATGAAAAAGCATTTTTTTGATTTTACAATATTTCACACTGTTTGTCAATCTAGAGCATAAGTAGAGACATCATGCCAAGTTTCATGAAAATTCAACAATTAATTAAGATTTTACAGCATTTACAGTTCTATGTGTAATATCCTTAAAAAATGCTCCAATCTAGCCAAAACTGCACCCAAGTTTTAAGTCAAATTTTAGCCTATTAACACATTTATACCATTCTTAATCACCTTCATAACTTTAAATACAATAGTCAAATCATAATCAAGCACTTAATTGGGTCAATTTCACTTATTTTAAAAAATTAATGTATTTCCGCACAAAATATGACCACTTTTCACCCTCTAATTCATAGTTTCTCCAGAAATGACAAAAAAATGAAGTTAACAAATACCCCGAAAGTAGTAAAATAAAAAAGTACTGATTATTCCCTGTCCATTGAGGTATCATTTATGAAATTTGGTCTATGAATAAAAAAGTTATAAGCCTTTATAATCCTATATAGAATCATTTGTTTCAAAGCAATTTTTATACCAATGCAAATTTACTCGTCTATGACGTCACAATGACATCATAATAATGGATAGCTCAATACATGTGTATCATTACTTTTCCCGTACTTTTCATTTAAGACAAAATCAGTGCTTATATACTATTATTAACTTTAAAAAATAAAAATATGTGGTTTTGCAGATTAAATAAATAATCCACTAAAGTTGTTTTGTTTCCATGGTAACCATTTTGTAATTTGTAGGAAAATGAGACAAAATTTTGAATTTCCTGACAAATCGCATAATTTTGACTGTCAAATATTCATGAAATTTCAATTCTTATATCCGTGTAATCTTAATAATGCATAATTTACAAAACAAAGATGTAGATCTAATTAATTTGAAATTCTTAAATAAGAAAAAAAATCTATATAAGTGCAAAATGTATATAGCAGTGCATGTACAGATTAGTTATAGCTAAATACTTTCACATTCTGATCACCTATTAAATATGTAAATTTCCTCACCCCCACCCCATCCCCCACTTCAATGAATTTTTTTTTTAGAAAACTTTAACTTACACATTTTGCCGACTGTCACATTTTGCTGGTGCTGTTTCAAGATGTATTCAAATGGGTGTGCATTTGCTGGCCAATAGTTTTAAACACCATCTGCATGGACCTCATGTTTTTCCTGTACCAATCACCATGAACCTAAAAAAAAAATCAATACAATAAATGGCACAATATCACATTTTTTGCAGACAGACAGACACACAGACATTCAACGCGTACAATTTTACCATATTCCTTTTATGCCCATTACTTGAAATTAATTAATTTAAAAAATGATTAATTTGCTCCCACCTGAAATCACACTGTTAACATTGGTAATTAAGTTAATTCAGCAGAATAGGTAAAAATCATGTTTTACTGACAATAATTGTACATTCAACAAATACATGTAATGCAATTGCTAAAAAATATGAGAAAAATCAGTTAATGTGCATGTTCACACACATCGTTTAACTCCCAGACAACTGTAACCAGCTTCACCGCGCAACTGATCTGAAATGATGTATGTCATGTATGTATGTGACGTGCCGATCATCGACATGTTCCAAAAACATTAAATTGTTATTTACAAATATTGTACTAAGGTATACCTCTTACCTCCTGTGTAAAATACAAATGCCCATCACCTATATACTGCTAAACACTGCACTGAACAGTTTTGATAACTTTCTGCTAAGTCTACTTTCACTTCGACCTTGACCCCAATTGAATACCGATCCCGAACTCATTTGTGAATTTTTGTGTATTGAAAATAAACCACAGTGGAGCATGTACATCTAAATAATTGCTTCTTAGTCAAATTATACATTTATGATTCTGAATAAATAAATTATATAAATCGATACATTTAATCTACATGATACATGTGTAAACAATGGGTGATACATGTATGAGCATGTTGACTGCTCAGGGGGGGGGGGGGGGGGGGGGGGGGGGGGGGAGACACTTTATTTATGAATCAATTTGTTTAAAAATGTGTATCAACAATAAAAGAATTGTTTTTTTCATAAATTTGAACAATTGAAAATAATAGAAAACACCAACTTTGAAATAAATTCAAGATTTATGACATCTTTCACTTACTTATAGGCTTCCTAATATGGGTACAGTCCACTAATTGTTTTCCCATAGGCGACAATGTTAACGTTTCTTCTCATAGCGATGTCCCTAATTTTCGTTCAGAAGTGAGTGACCCCTCAAATCAAAGCACATCAACTTGTCTTTCCTTGGTTAAAATCTCGAGGTGGCATGTCAGATTCGTTTTCCGGCAAAATGCGTCTGTCTGCGGGAACCTCTAAAAATGAAAGTGAAAGTAGGGGAATTTCAGAATTATCACTGGCGTTATAATACACAAAATAATTCAGCTGATCTTCTTGATAAATTACATTTTCAAAGCTTTTTTGGTAGGAAAGATACTCCTTATCAACAAGTGTGAGGCTCAAATCAGTACATCTGCCCAATTTTTTTTATGCAAGTCTGCAAATTAAGGAACTTGTAATTTTTTCTGCACTACTTTCTTCTCCTACCGATTCTAAAAATAATTAGTGGGATGTACCCAATATGAAAAAGCATTTTTTTGATTTTACAATATTTCACACTGTTTGTCAATCTAGAGCATAAGTAGAGACATCATGCCAAGTTTCATGAAAATTCAACAATTAATTAAGATTTTACAGCATTTACAGTTCTATGTGTAATATCCTTAAAAAATGCTCCAATCTAGCCAAAACTGCACCCAAGTTTTAAGTCAAATTTTAGCCTATTAACACATTTATACCATTCTTAATCAACTTCATAACTTTAAATACATATAGTCAAATCATAATCAAGCACTTAATTGGGTCAATTTCACTTATTTTAAAAAATTAATGTATTTCCGCACAAAATATGACCACTTTTCACCCTCTAATTCATAGTTTCTCCAGAAATGACAAAAAAATGAAGTTACAAATACCCCGAAAGTAGTAAAATAAAAAAGAACTGATTATTTCCTGTCCATTGATGTATCATTCATGAAATTTGGTCTATGAATAAAAAAGTTATAAGCCTTTATAATCCTATATAGAATCATTTGTTTCAAAGCAATTTTTATACCAATGCAAATTTACTCATCTATGACGTCACAATGACATCATAATAATGGATAGCTCAATACATGTGTATCATTACTTTTCCCGTACTTTTCATTTAAGACAAAATCAGTGCTTATATACTATTATTAACTTTAAAAAATAAAAATATGTGGTTTTGCAGATTAAATAAATAATCCACTAAAGTTGTTTTGTTTCCATGGTAACCATTTTGTAATTTGTAGGAAAATGAGACAAAATTTTGAATTTCCTGACAAATCGCATAATTTTGACTGTCAAATATTCATGAAATTTCAATTCTTATATCCGTGTAATCTTAATAATGCATAATTTACAAAACAAAGATGTAGATCTAATTAATTTGAAATTCTTAAATAAGAAAAAAAATCTATATAAGTGCAAAATGTATATAGCAGTGCATGTACAGATTAGTTATAGCTAAATACTTTCACATTCTGATCACCTATTTAATATGTAAATTTCCTCACCCCCACCCCATCCCCCACTTCAAAGAATTTTTTTTTTAGAAAACTTTAACTTAAACAATTTGCCGACTGTCACATTTTGCTGGTGCTGTTTCAAGATGTATTCAAAATGGTGTGCATTTGCTGGCCAATAGTTTTAAACACCATCTGCATGGACCTCATGTTTTTCCTGTACCAATCACCATGAACCTAAAAAAAAAATCAATACAATAAATGGCACAATATCACATTTGCAGACAGACAGACACACAGACATTCAACGCGTACAATTTTACCATATTCCTTTTATGCCCATTACTTGAAATTAATTAATTTAAAAAATGATTAATTTGCTCCCACCTGAAATCACACTGTTAACATTATAATTAATTAAGTTAATTCAGCAGAATAGGTAAAAATCATGTTTTACTGACAATAATTGTACATTCAACAAATACATGTAATGCAATTGCTAAAAAATATGAGAAAAATCAGTTAATGTGCATGTTCACACACATCGTTTAACTCCCAGACAACTGTAACCAGCTTCACCGCGCAACTGATCTGAAATGATGTATGTCATGTATGTGACGTGCCGATCATCGACATGTTCCAAAAACATTAAATTGTTATTTACAAATATTGTACTAAGGTATACCTCTTACCTCCTGTGTAAAATACAAATGCCCATCACCTATATACTGCTAAACACTGCACTGAACAGTTTTGATAACTTTCTGCTAAGTCTACTTTCACTTCGACCTTGACCCCAATTGAATACCGATCCCGAACTCATTTGTGAATTTTTGTGTATTGAAAATAAACCACAGTGGAGCATGTACATCTAAATAATTGCTTCTTAGTCAAATTATACATTTATGATTCTGAATAAATAAATTATATAAATCGATACATTTAATCTACATGATACATGTGTAAACAATGGGTGATACATGTATGAGCATGTTGACTGTTCAGGGGGGGGGGGGGGGGGTAGACACTTTATTTATGAATCAATTTGTTTAAAAATGTGTATCAACAATAAAAGAATTGTTTTTTTTCAAAAATTTGAACAATTGAAAATAATAGAAAACACCAACTTTGAAATAAATTCAAGATTTATGACATCTTTCACTTACTTATAGGCTTCCTAATATGGGTACAGTCCACTAATTGTTTTCCCATAGGCGACAATGTTAACGTTTCTTCTCATAGCGATGTCCCTAATTTTCGTTCAGAAGTGAGTGACCCCTCAAATCAAAGCACATCAACTTGTCTTTCCTTGGTTAAAATCTCGAGGTGGCATGTCAGATTCGTTTTCCGGCAAAATGCGTCTGTCTGCGGGAACCTCTAAAAATGAAAGTGAAAGTAGGGGAATTTCAGAATTATCACTGGCGTTATAATACACAAAATAATTCAGCTGATCTTCTTGATAAATTACATTTTCAAAGCTTTTTTGGTAGGAAAGATACTCCTTATCAACAAGTGTGAGGCTCAGTTCAGTACATCTGCCCAATTTTTTTTATGCAAGTCTGCAAATTAAGGAACTTGTAATTTTTTCTGCACTACTTTCTTCTCCTACCGATTCTAAAAATAATTAGTGGGATGTACCCAATATGAAAAAGCATTTTTTTGATTTTACAATATTTCACACTGTTTGTCAATCTAGAGCATAAGTAGAGACATCATGCCAAGTTTCATGAAAATTCAACAATTAATTAAGATTTTACAGCATTTACAGTTCTATGTGTAATATCCTTAAAAAATGCTCCAATCTAGCCAAAACTGCACCCAAGTTTTAAGTCAAATTTTAGCCTATTAACACATTTATACCATTCTTAATCAACTTCATAACTTTAAATACATATAGTCAAATCATAATCAAGCACTTAATTGGGTCAATTTCACTTATTTTAAAAAATTAATGTATTTCCGCACAAAATATGACCACTTTTCACCCTCTAATTCATAGTTTCTCCAGAAATGACAAAAAAATGAAGTTACAAATACCCCGAAAGTAGTAAAATAAAAAAGTACTGATTATTTCCTGTCCATTGATGTATCATTCATGAAATTTGGTCTATGAATAAAAAAGTTATAAGCCTTTATAATCTTTTATAGAATCATTTGTTTCAAAGCAATTTTTATACCAATGCAAATTTACTCATCTATGACGTCACAATGACATCATAATAATGGATAGCTCAATACATGTGTATCATTACTTTTCCCGTACTTTTTATTTAAGACAAAATCAGTGCTTATATACTATTATTAACTTTAAAAAATAAAAATATGTGGTTTTGCAGATTAAATAAACAATCCACTTAAGTTGTTTTGTTTCCATGGTAACCATTTTGTAATTTGTAGGAAAATGAGACAAAATTTTGAATTTCCTGACAAATCGCATAATTTTGACTGTCAAATATTCATGAAATTTCAATTCTTATATCCGTGTAATCTTAATAATGCATAATTTACAAAACAAAGATGTAGATCTAATTAATTTGAAAATCTTAAATAAGAAAAGAAAATCTATATGAGCTGCAAAATGTATATAGCAGTGCATATAAAGATTAGTTATAGCTAAATACTTTCACATTCTGATCACCTATTTAATATGTAAATTTCCTCACCCCCACCCCATCCCCCACTTCAATGAATTTTTTTTTTTTTATAAAAATTTAACTTAAAAATTTTGCCGACTGTCACATTTTGCTGGTGCTTTTTCAAGATGTATTCAAATGGGTGTGCATTTGCTGGCCAATAGTTTTAAACACCATCTGCATGGACCTCATGTTTTTCCTGTACCAATCACCATGAACCTAAAAAAAAAATCAATACAATAAATGGCACAATATCACATTTGCAGACAGACAGACACATAGACATTCAACACGTACAATTTTACCATATTCCTTTTATGCCCATTACTTGAAATTAATTAATTTAAAAAATGATTAATTTGCTCCCACCTGAAATCACACTGTTAACATTATAATTAATTAAGTTAATTCAGCAGAATAGGTAAAAATCATGTTTTACTGACAATAATTGTACATTCAACAAATACATGTAATGCAATTGCTAAAAAATATGAGAAAAATCAGTTAATGTGCATGTTCACACACATCGTTTAACTCCCAGACAACTGTACCCAGCTTGACCGCGCAACTGATCTGAAATGATGTATGTCAACGTGCCGATCATCGACATGTTCCAAAAACATTAAATTGTTATTTACAAATATTGTACTAAGGTATACCTCTTACCTCCTGTGTAAAATACAAATGCCCATCACCTATATACTGCTAAACATTGCACTGAACAGTTTTGATAACTTTCTGCTAAGTCTACTTTCACTTCGACCTTGACCCCGATTGAATACCGATCCCGAACTCATTTGTGAATTTTTGTGTATTGAAAATAAACCACAGTGGAGCATGTACTTCTACATAATTGCTTCTTAATCAAATTATACATTTATGATTCTGAATAAATAAATTATATAAATCGATACATTTAATCTACATGATACATGTGTAAACAATGGGTGATACATGTATGAGCATGTTGACTGTTCCGGGGGGGGGGATAGACACTTTATTTATGAATCAATTTGTTTAAAAATGTGTATCAACAATATAAGAATTGTTTTTTTCATAAATTTGAACAATTGAAAATAATAGAAAACACCAACTTTGAAATAAATTCAAGATTTATGACATCTTTCACTTACTTATAGGCTTCCTAATATGGGTACAGTCCACTAATTGTTTTCCCATAGGCGACAATGTTAACGTTTCTTCTCATAGCGATGTCCCTAATTTTCGTTCAGAAGTGAGTGACCCCTCAAATCAAAGCACATCAACTTGTCTTTCCTTGGTTAAAATCTCGAGGTGGCATGTCAGATTCGTTTTCCGGCAAAATGCGTCTGTCTGCGGGAACCTCTAAAAATGAAAGTGAAAGTAGGGGAATTTCAGAATTCTCACTGGCGTTATAATACACAAAATAAATCGGCTGATCTTCTTGAAAAATTACATTTTCAAAGCTTTTTTGGTAGGAAAGATACTCCTTATCAACAAGTGTGAGGCTCAGTTCAGTACATCTGCCCAATTTTTTTTATGCAAGTCTGCAAATTAAGGAACTTGTAATTTTTTCTGCACTACTTTCTTCTCCTACCGATTCTAAAAATAATTAGTGGGATGTACCCAATATGAAAAAGCATTTTTTTGATTTTACAATATTTCACACTGTTTGTCAATCTAGAGCATAAGTAGAGACATCATGCCAAGTTTCATGAAAATTCAACAATTAATTAAGATTTTACAGCATTTACAGTTCTATGTGTAATATCCTTAAAAAATGCTCCAATCTAGCCAAAACTGCACCCAAGTTTTAAGTCAAATTTTAGCCTTTTAACACATTTATACCATTCTTAATCACCTTCATAACTTTAAATACATATAGTCAAATCATAATCAAGCACTTAATTGGGTCAATTTCACTTATTTTAAAAAATTAATGTATTTCCGCACAAAATATGACCACTTTTCACCCTCTAATTCATAGTTTCTCCAGAAATGACAAAAAAATGAAGTTAACAAATACCCCGAAAGTAGTAAAATAAAAAAGTACTGATTATTTCCTGTCCATTGATGTATCATTTATGAAATTTGATCTATGAATAAAAAAGTTATAAGCCTTTATAATTCTATATAGAATCATTTGTTTCAAAGCAATTTTTATACCAATGCAAATTTACTCATCTATGACGTCACAATGACATCATAATAATGGATAGCTCAATACATGTGTATCATTACTTTTCCCGTACTTTTCATTTAAGACAAAATCAGTGCTTATATATATTATTTACTTTAAAAAATAAAAATATGTGGTTTTGCAGATTAAATAAATAATCTCACTAAAGTTGTTTTGTTTCCATGGTAACCATTTTGTAATTTGTAGGAAAATGAGACAAAATTTTGAATTTCCTGACAAATCGCATAATTTTGACTGTCAAATATTCATGAAATTTCAATTCTTATATCCGTGTAATCTTAATAATGCATAATTTACAAAACAAAGATGTAGATCTAATGAAAATCTTAAATAAGAAAAGAAAATCTATATGAGCTGCAAAATGTATATAGCAGTGCATGTACAGATTAGTTATAGCTAAATACTTTCACATTCTGATCACCTATTTAATATGTAAATTTCCTCACCCCCACCCCATCCCCCACTTCAATGAAATTTTATTTTTTAGAAAACTTTAACTTACACATTTTGCCGACTGTCACATTTTGCTGGTGCTGTTTCAAGATGTATTCAAATGGGTGTGCATTTGCTGGCCAATAGTTTTAAACACCATCTGCATGGACCTCATGTTTTTCCTGTACCAATCACCATGAACCTAAAAAAAAAATCAATACAATAAATGGCACAATATCACATTTGCAGACAGACAGACACATAGACATTCAACACGTACAATTTTACCATATTCCTTTTATGCCCATTACTTGAAATTAATTAATTTAAAAAATGATTAATTTGCTCCCACCTGAAATCACACTGTTTACATATTGGTAATTAAGTTAATTCAGCAGAATAGGTAAAAATCATGTTTTACTGACAATAATTGTACATTCAACAAATACATGTAATGCAATTGCTAAAAAATATGAGAAAAATCAGTTAATGTGCATGTTCACACACATCGTTTAACTCCCAGACAACTGTACCCAGCTTGACCGCGCAACTGATCTGAAATGATGTATGTCATGTATGTGACGTGCTGATCATCGACATGTTCCAAAAACATTAAATTGTTATTTACAAATATTGTACTAAGGTATACCTCTTACCTCCTGTGTAAAATACAAATGCCCATCACCTATATACTGCTAAACACTGCACTGAACAGTTTTGATAACTTTCTGCTAAGTCTACTTTCACTTCGACCTTGACCCCGATTGAATACCGATCCCGAACTCATTTGTGAATTTTTGTGTTTTTAAAATAAACCACAGTGGAGCATGTACTTCTACATAATTGCTTCTTAATCAAATTATACATTTATGATTCTGAATAAATAAATTATATAAATCAATACATTAAATCTCCATGATACATGTGTAAACAATGGGTGATACATGTATGAGCATGTTGATTGTTCGGGGGGGGGGGGGGGGGGGGGGGGGTAGACACTTTATTTATGAATCAATTTGTTTAAAAATGTGTATCAACAATATAAGAATTGTTTTTTTCATAAATTTGAACAATTGAAAATAATAGAAAACACCAACTTTGAAATAAATTCAAGATTTATGACATCTTTCACTTACTTATAGGCTTCCTAATATGGGTACAGTCCACTAATTGTTTTCCCATAGGCGACAATGTTAACGTTTCTTCTCATAGCGATGTCCCTAATTTTCGTTCAGAAGTGAGTGACCCCTCAAATCAAAGCACATCAACTTGTCTTTCCTTGGTTAAAATCTCGAGGTGGCATGTCAGATTCGTTTTCCGGCAAAATGCGTCTGTCTGCGGGAACCTCTAAAAATGAAAGTGAAAGTAGGGGAATTTCAGAATTCTCACTGGCGTTATAATACACAAAATAATTCAGCTGATCTTCTTGATAAATTACATTTTCAAAGCTTTTTTGGTAGGAAAGATACTCTATATCAACAAGTGTGAGGCTCAGTTCAGTACATCTGCCCAATTTTTTTTATGCAAGTCTGCAAATTAAGGAACTTGTAATTTTTTCTGCACTACTTTCTTCTCCTACCGATTCTAAAAATAATTAGTGGGATGTACCCAATATGAAAAAGCATTTTTTTGATTTTACAATATTTCACACTGTTTGTCAATCTAGAGCATAAGTAGAGACATCATGCCAAGTTTCATGAAAATTCAACAATTAATTAAGATTTTACAGCATTTACAGTTCTATGTGTAATATCCTTAAAAAATGCTCCAATCTAGCCAAAACTGCACCCAAGTTTTAAGTCAAATTTTAGCCTATTAACACATTTATACCATTCTTAATCACCTTCATATCTTTAAATACATATAGTCAAATCATAATCAAGCACTTAATTGGGTCAATTTCACTTATTTTAAAAAATTAATGTATTTCCGCACAAAATATGACCACTTTTCACCCTCTAATTCATAGTTTCTCCAGAAATGACAAAAAAATGAAGTTACACAAATACCCCGAAAGTAGTAAAATAAAAAAGTACTGATTATTTCCTGTCCATTGATGTATCATTCATGAAATTTGGACTATGAATAAAAAAGTTATAAGCCTTTATAATCCTATATAGAATCATTTGTTTCAAAGCAATTTTTATACCAATGCAAATTTACTCATCTATGACGTCACAATGACATCATAATAATGGATAGCTCAATACATGTGTATCATTACTTTTCCCGTACTTTTCATTTAAGACAAAATCAGTGCTTATATACTATTATTTAACTTTAAAAAATAAAAATATGTGGTTTTGCAGATTAAATAAATAATTCACTAAAGTTGTTTTGTTTCCATGGTAACCATTTTGTAATTTGTAGGAAAATGAGACAAAATTTGAATTTCCTGACAAATCGCATAATTTTGACTGTCAAATATTCATGAAATTTCAATTCTTATATCCGTGTAATCTTAATAATGCATAATTTACAAAACAAAGATGTAGATCTAATCATTTGAAAATCTTAAATAAGAAAAGAAAATCTATATGAGCTGCAAAATGTATATAGCAGTGCATGTACAGATTAGTTATAGCTAAATACTTTCACATTCTGATCACCTATTTAATATGTAAATTTCCTCACCCCCACCCCATCCCCCCACTTCAATGAAACTTTTTTTTTTAGAAAACTTAAACTTACATATTTTGCCGACTGTCACATTTTGCTGGTTCTTTTTCAAGATGTATTCAAATGGGTGTGCATTTGCTGGCCAATAGTTTTAAACACCATCTGCATGGACCTCATGTTTTTCCTGTACCAATCACCATGAACCTAAAAAAAAAATCAATACAATAAATGGCACAATATCACATTTGCAGACAGACAGACACACAGACATTCAACACGTACAATTTTACCATATTCCTTTTATGCCCATTACTTGAAATTAATTAATTTAAAAAATGATTAATTTGCTCCCACCTGAAATCACACTGTTTACATTGGTAATTAAGTTAATTCAGCAGAATAGGTAAAAATCATGTTTTACTGACAATAATTGTACATTCAACAAATAAATGTAATGCAATTGCTAAAAAATATGAGAAAAATCAGTTAATGTGCATGTTCACACACATCGTTTAACTCCCAGACAACTGTACCCAGCTTGACCGCGCAACTGATCTGAAATGATGTATGTCAAGTATGCCTATGTGAAGTGCCGATCATCGACATGTTCCAAAAACATTAAATTGTTATTTACAAATATTGTACTAAGGTATACCTCTTACCTCCTGTGTAAAATACAAATGCCCATCACCTATATACTGCTAAACATTGCACTGAACAGTTTTGATAACTTTCTGCTAAGTCTACTTTCACTTCGACTTGACCCCGATTGAATACCGATCCCGAACTCATTTGTGAATTTTTGTGTATTGAAAATAAACCACAGTGGAGCATGTACTTCTACATAATTGCTTCTTAATCAAATTATACATTTATGATTCTGAATAAATAAATTATATAAATCGATACATTTAATCTACATGAAACATGTGTAAACAATGGGTGATACATGTATGAGCATGTTGACTGTTCAGGGGGGGGGGGGGGGGGGGGGGGGGTAGACACTTTATTTATGAATCAATTTGTTTAAAAATGTGTATCAACAATATAAGAATTGTTTTTTTTCATAAATTTGAACAATTGAAAATAATAGAAAACACCAACTTTGAAATAAATTCAAGATTTATGACATCTTTCACTTACTTATAGGCTTCCTAATATGGGTACAGTCCACTAATTGTTTTCCCATAGGCGACAATGTTAACGTTTCTTCTCATAGCGATGTCCCTAATTTTCGTTCAGAAGTGAGTGACCCCTCAAATCAAAGCACATCAACTTGTCTTTCCTTGGTTAAAATCTCGAGGTGGCATGTCAGATTCGTTTTCCGGCAAAATGCGTCTGTCTGCGGGAACCTCTAAAAATGAAAGTGAAAGTAGGGGAATTTCAGAATTCTCACTGGCGTTATAATACACAAAATAATTCAGCTGATCTTCTTGATAAATTACATTTTCAAAGCTTTTTTGGTAGGAAAGATACTCCTTATCAACAAGTGTGAGGCTCAGTTCAGTACATCTGCCCAATTTTTTTTATGCAAGTCTGCAAATTAAGGAACTTGTAATTTTTTCTGCACTACTTTCTTCTCCTACCGATTCTAAAAATAATTAGTGGGATGTACCCAATATGAAAAAGCATTTTTTTGATTTTACAATATTTCACACTGTTTGTCAATCTAGAGCATAAGTAGAGACATCATGCCAAGTTTCATGAAAATTCAACAATTAATTAAGATTTTACAGCATTTACAGTTCTATGTGTAATATCCTTAAAAAATGCTCCAATCTAGCCAAAACTGCACCCAAGTTTTAAGTCAAATTTTAGCCTATTAACACATTTATACCATTCTTAATCACCTTCATATCTTTAAATACATATAGTCAAATCATAATCAAGCACTTAATTGGGTCAATTTCACTTATTTTAAAAAATTAATGTATTTCCGCACAAAATATGACCACTTTTCACCCTCTAATTCATAGTTTCTCCAGATATGACAAAAAAATGAAGTTCACAAATACCCCGAAAGTAGTAAAATAAAAAAGTACTGATTATTTCCTGTCCATTGATGTATCATTCATGAAATTTGGACTATGAATGAAAAAGTTATAAGCCTTTATAATCCTATATAGAATCATTTGTTTCAAAGCAATTTTTATACCAATGCAAATTTACTCATCTATGACGTCACAATGACATCATAATAATGGATAGCTCAATACATGTGTATCATTACTTTTCCCGTACTTTTCATTTAAGAAAAATCAGTGCTTATATACTATTATTTACTTTAAAAAATAAAAATATGTGGTTTTGCAGATTAAATAAATAGTTCACTAAAGTTGTTTTGTTTCCATGGTAACCATTTTGTAATTTGTAGGAAAATGAGACAAAATTTTGAATTTCCTGACAAATCGCATAATTTTGACTGTCAAATATTCATGAAATTTCAATTCTTATATCCGTGTAATCTTAATAATGCATAATTTACAAAACAAAGATGTAGATCTAATCATTTGAAAATCTTAAATAAGAAAAGAAAATCTATATGAGCTGCAAAATGTATATAGCAGTACATGTACAGATTAGTTATAGCTAAATACTTTCACATTCTGATCACCTATTTAATATGTAAATTTCCTCACCCCACCCCATCCCCCACTTCAATGAATTTTTTTTTTAGAAAACTTTAACTTACACATTTTGCCGACTGTCACATTTTGCTGGTCATGCTGTTTCAAGATGTATTCAAATGGGTGTGCATTTGCTGGCCAATAGTTTTAAACACCATCTGCATGGACCTCATGTTTTTCCTGTACCAATCACCATGAACCTAAAAAAAAATCAATACAATAAATGGCACAATATCACATTTGCAGACAGACAGACACACAGACATTCAACACGTACAATTTTACCATATTCCTTTTATGCCCATTACTTGAAATTAATTAATTTAAAAAATGATTAATTTGCTCCCACCTGAAATCACACTGTTTACATTGGTAATTAAGTTAATTCAGCAGAATAGGTAAAAATCATGTTTTACTGACAATAATTGAACATTCAACAAATACATGTAATGCAATTGCTAAAAAATATGAGAAAAATCAGTTAATGTGCATGTTCACACACATCGTTTAACTCCCAGACAACTGTACCCAGCTTGACCGCGCAACTGATCTGAAATGATGTATGTCAAGTATGTATGTGACGTGCCGATCATCGACATGTTCCAAAAACATTAAATTGTTATTTACAAATATTGTACTAAGGTATACCTCTTACCTCCTGTGTAAAATACAAATGCCCATCACCTATATACTGCTTAACACTGCACTGAACAGTTTTGATAACTTTCTGCTAAGTCTACTTTCACTTCGACCTTGACCCCGATTGAATACCGATCCCGAACTCATTTGTGAATTTTTGTGTATTGAAAATAAACCACAGTGGAGCATGTACTTCTACATAATTGCTTCTTAATCAAATTATACATTTATGATTCTGAATAAATAAATTATATAAATCGATACATTTAATCTACATGATACATGTGTAAACAATGGGTGATACATGTATGAGCATGTTGACTGTTCCGGGGGGGGGGGGGGGGTATAGGGGGGGGGGGGGGGGGTAGACACTTTATTTATGAATCAATTTGTTTAAAAATGTGTATCAACAATATAAGAATTGTTTTTTTCATAAATTTGAACAATTGAAAATAATAGAAAACAACAACTTTGAAATAAATTCAAGATTTATGACATCTTTCACTTACTTATAGGCTTCCTAATATGGGTACAGTCCACTAATTGTTTTCCCATAGGCGACAATGTTAACGTTTCTTCTCATAGCGATGTCCCTAATTTTCGTTCGGTAGTGAGTGACCCCTCAAATCAAAGCACATCAACTTGTCTTTCCTTGGTTAAAATCTCGAGGTGGCATGTCAGATTCGTTTTCCGGCAAAATGCGTCTGTCTGCGGGAACCTCTAAAAATGAAAGTGAAAGTAGGGGAATTTCAGAATTCTCACTGGCGTTATAATACACAAAATAATTCGGCTGATCTTCTTGATAAATTACATTTTCAAAGCTTTTTTGGTAGGAAAGATACTCCTTATCAACAAGTGTGAGGCTCAGTTCAGTACACCTGCCCAATTTTTTTTATGCAAGTCTGCAATTTAAGGAACTTGTAATTTTTTCTGCACTACTTTCTTCTCCTACCGATTCTAAAAATAATTAGTGGGATGTACCCAATATGAAAAAGCATTTTTTTGATTTTACAATATTTCACACTGTTTGTCAATCTAGAGCATAAGTAGAGACATCATGCCAAGTTTCATGAAAATTCAACAATTAATTAAGATTTTACAGCATTTACAGTTCTATGTGTAATATCCTTAAAAAATGCTCCAATCTAGCCAAAACTGCACCCAAGTTTTGAGTCAAATTTTAGCCTATTAACACATTTATACCATTCTTAATCACCTTCATATCTTTAAATACATATAGTCAAATCATAATCAAGCACTTAATTGGGTCAATTTCACTTATTTTAAAAAATTAATGTATTTCCGCACAAAATATGACCACTTTTCACCCTCTAATTCATAGTTTCTCCAGAAATGACAAAAAAATGAAGTTCACAAATACCCCGAAAGTAGTAAAATAAAAAAGTACTGATTATTTCCTGTCCATTGATGTATCATTCATGAAATTTGGACTATGAATGAAAAAGTTATAAGCCTTTATAATCCTATATAGAATCATTTGTTTCAAAGCAATTTTTATACCAATGCAAATTTACTCATCTATGACGTCACAATGACATCATAATAATGGATAGCTCAATACATGTGTATCATTACTTTTCCCGTACTTTTCATTTAAGACAAAATCAGTGCTTATATACTATTATTTACTTTAAAAAATAAAAATATGTGGTGTTGCAGATTAAATAAATAGTTCACTAAAGTTGTTTTGTTTCCATGGTAACCATTTTGTAATTTGTAGGAAAATGAGACAAAATTTTGAATTTCCTGACAAATCGCATAATTTTGACTGTCAAATATTCATGAAATTTCAATTCTTATATCCGTGTAATCTTAATAATGCATAATTTACAAAACAAAGATGTAGATCTAATTAATTTGAAAATCTTAAATAAGAAAAGAAAATCTATATGAGCTGCAAAATGTATATAGCAGTGCATGTACAGATTAGTTATAGCTAAATACTTTCACATTCTGATCACCTATTTAATATGTAAATTTCCTCACCCCCACCCCATCCCCCCACTTCAATGAAATTTTTTTTTTTAGAAAACTTAAACTTACATATTTTGCCAACTGTCACATTTTGCTGGTTCTTTTTCAAGATGTATTCAAATGGGTGTGCATTTGCTGGCCAATAGTTTTAAACACCATCTGCATGGACCTCATGTTTTTCCTGTACCAATGACCATGAACCTAAAAAAAAAATCAACACAATAAATGGTACAATATCACATTTGCAGACAGACAGAAACACAGACATTCAAAACGTAAAATTTTACCATATTCCTTTTATGCCCATAACTTGAAATTAATTAATTTAAAAAATGATTAATTTGCTCCCACCTGAAATCACACTGTTTACATTGGTAATTAAGTTAATTCAGCAGAATAGGTAAAAATCATGTTTTACTGACAATAATTGAACATTCAACAAATACATGTAATGCAATTGCTAAAAAATATGAGAAAAATCAGTTAATGTGCATGTTCACACACATCGTTTAACTCCCAGACAACTGTATACCCAGCTTGACCGCGCAACTGATCTGAAATGATGTATGTCAAGTATGCATATGTGACGTGCCGATCATCGACATGGTCCAAAAACATTAAAATTGTTATTTACAAATATTGTACTTCTTACAAAATACATCACCTATATACTGCTTAACATGCCCTGAACAGTATAAAAAGTCTACTTTCACTTCGACCTTGACCCCGATTGAATACCGATCCCGAACTGTGAATTTTTGTGTAAAAATAAACCACAGTGGAGCATGTACTTCTACATAATTGCTTCTTAATCAAATTGCATGTTCACACACAAATTATATAAATCCATTTAATCTACATGATACATGTGTAAACAATGGGTGATACAAACTACACTTTATTTATGAAAATTTGTTTAAAAATGTGTATCAACAATAAACACATTGAACAATTGTATAAAAATGTATGAAATTTCATGTGACCAGTGACGATTGAATATACTGAACACTCGACATGTTCAAAAACATTAAATTAGCTTTCTGCTAATGGTACTTTCACATTGTACTATATACCTTTAAAAATTAAATTGTTTTTACAACAAAATACAAATTTGTGAATTTTTATTGAAAATAATACTGCTAAACACTGGACATGTTTTGATAACTTTCTTCTTAATCAACTTTCACTTACGACCTTGACCCCGATTGATATACCGATCCCGAACTCATTTGTGAATTTTTGTAAACCACAGTGGAGTTGTACTTATACTATATAATTGCTTCTTAATCAAATTATACATTTATGATTCTGAATAAATAAATTATATAAATCGATACATTTAATCAACATGATACATGTGTAAACAATGGGTGATACAACATTGAGTATGTTGTGTTCGGGGTATAAAATACAAATGCACATCACTTTATTTATGTTTGTTTAAAAATGTGGGGAATTGTTTTTTTCATAAATTTGAACAATTGAAAATAATCAATTTGTTTAAAAATGTGTATCAACAATATAAGAATTGTTTTTTTCAACTTTAATAGAAAACACCAACTTTTAAATAAATTCAAGATTTATGACATCTTTCACTTACTTATAGGCTTCCTAATATGGGTACAGTCCACTAATTGTTTTCCCATAGGCGACAATGTTAACGTTTCTTCTCATAGCGATGTCCCTAATTTTCGTTCGGTAGTGAGTGACCCCTCAAATCAAAGCACATCAACTTGTCTTTCCTTGGTTAAAATCTCGAGGTGGCATGTCAGATTCGTTTTCCGGCAAAATGCGTCTGTCTGCGGGAACCTCTAAAAATGAAAGTGAAAGTAGGGGAATTTCAGAATTCTCACTGGCGTTATAATACACAAAATAATTCGGCTGATCTTCTTGATAAATTACATTTTCAAAGCTTTTTTGGTAGGAAAGATACTCCTTATCAACAAGTGTGAGGCTCAGTTCAGTACACCTGCCCAATTTTTTTTATGCAAGTCTGCAATTTAAGGAACTTGTAATTTTTTCTGCACTACTTTCTTCTCCTACCGATTCTAAAAATAATTAGTGGGATGTACCCAATATGAAAAAGCATTTTTTTGATTTTACAATATTTCACACTGTTTGTCAATCTAGAGCATAAGTAGAGACATCATGCCAAGTTTCATGAAAATTCAACAATTAATTAAGATTTTACAGCATTTACAGTTCTATGTGTAATATCCTTAAAAAATGCTCCAATCTAGCCAAAACTGCACCCAAGTTTTGAGTCAAATTTTAGCCTATTAACACATTTATACCATTCTTAATCACCTTCATATCTTTAAATACATATAGTCAAATCATAATCAAGCACTTAATTGGGTCAATTTCACTTATTTTAAAAAATTAATGTATTTCCGCACAAAATATGACCACTTTTCACCCTCTAATTCATAGTTTCTCCAGAAATGACAAAAAAATGAAGTTCACAAATACCCCGAAAGTAGTAAAATAAAAAAGTACTGATTATTTCCTGTCCATTGATGTATCATTCATGAAATTTGGACTATGAATGAAAAAGTTATAAGCCTTTATAATCCTATATAGAATCATTTGTTTCAAAGCAATTTTTATACCAATGCAAATTTACTCATCTATGACGTCACAATGACATCATAATAATGGATAGCTCAATACATGTGTATCATTACTTTTCCCGTACTTTTCATTTAAGACAAAATCAGTGCTTTTATACTATTATTTACTTTAAAAAATAAAAATATGTGGTGTTGCAGATTAAATAAATAGTTCACTAAAGTTGTTTTGTTTCCATGGTAACCATTTTGTAATTTGTAGGAAAATGAGACAAAATTTTGAATTTCCTGACAAATCGCATAATTTTGACTGTCAAATATTCATGAAATTTCAATTCTTATATCCGTGTAATCTTAATAATGCATAATTTACAAAACAAAGATGTAGATCTAATCAATTTGAAAATCTTAAATAAGAAAAGAAAATCTATATGAGCTGCAAAATGTATATAGCAGTGCATGTACAGATTAGTTATAGCTAAATACTTTCACATTCTGATCACCTATTTAATATGTAAATTTCCTCACCCCCACCCCATCCCCCCACTTCAATGAAATTTTTTTTTTAGAAAACTTAAACTTACATATTTTGCCAACTGTCACATTTTGCTGGTTCTTTTTCAAGATGTATTCAAATGGGTGTGCATTTGCTGGCCAATAGTTTTAAACACCATCTGCATGGACCTCATGTTTTTCCTGTACCAATCACCATGAACCTAAAAAAAAAAATCAATACAATAAATGGTACAATATCACATTTGCAGACAGACAGACACACAGACATTCAACACGTACAATTTTACCATATTCCTTTTATGCCCATTACTTGAAATTAATTAATTTAAAAAATGATTAATTTGCTCCCACCTGAAATCACACTGTTTACATTGGTAATTAAGTTAATTCAGCAGAATAGGTAAAAATCATGTTTTACTGACAATAATTGAACATTCAACAAATACATGTAATGCAATTGCTAAAAAATATGAGAAAAATCAGTTAATGTGCATGTTCACACACATCGTTTAACTCCCAGACAACTGTACCCAGCTTGACCGCGCAACTGATCTGAAATGATGTAGGCCCCTATGTCAAGTATGCATATGTGAAGTGCCGATCATCGACATGTTCCAAAAACATTAAATTGTTATTTACATATTGTACTAAGGTATACCTCTTACCTCCTGTGTAAAATACAAATGCCCATCACCTATATACTGCTTAACACTGCCCTGAACAGTTTTGATAACTTTCTGCTAAGTCTACTTTCACTTCGACCTTGACCCCGATTGAATACCGATCCCGAACTCATTTGTGAATTTTTGTGTATTGAAAATAAACCACAGTGGAGCATGTACTTCTACATAATTGCTTCTTAATCAAATTATACATTTACGATTCTGAATAAATAAATTATATAAATCGATACATTTAATCTACATGATACATGTGTAAACAATGGGTGATACATGTTGACTGTTCCGGGGGGGGGGGGGGGGGGTACACTTTATTTATGAATCAATTTGTTTAAAAATGTGTATCAACAATATAAGAATTGTTTTTTTCATAAATTTGAACAATTGAAAATAATAGAAAACAACAACTTTGAAATAAATTCAAGATTTATGACATCTTTCACTTACTTATAGGCTTCCTAATATGGGTACAGTCCACTAATTGTTTTCCCATAGGCGACAATGTTAACGTTTCTTCTCATAGCGATGTCCCTAATTTTCGTTCGGTAGTGAGTGACCCCTCAAATCAAAGCACATCAACTTGTCTTTCCTTGGTTAAAATCTCGAGGTGGCATGTCAGATTCGTTTTCCGGCAAAATGCGTCTGTCTGCGGGAACCTCTAAAAATGAAAGTGAAAGTAGGGGAATTTCAGAATTCTCACTGGCGTTATAATACACAAAATAATTCGGCTGATCTTCTTGATAAATTACATTTTCAAAGCTTTTTTGGTAGGAAAGATACTCCTTATCAACAAGTGTGAGGCTCAGTTCAGTACACCTGCCCAATTTTTTTTATGCAAGTCTGCAATTTAAGGAACTTGTAATTTTTTCTGCACTACTTTCTTCTCCTACCGATTCTAAAAATAATTAGTGGGATGTATACAATATTTCACACTGTTTGTCAATCTAGAGCATAAGTAGAGACATCATGCCAAGTTTCATGAAAATTCAACAATTAATTAAGATTTTACAGCATTTACAGTTCTATGTGTAATATCCTTAAAAAATGCTCCAATCTAGCCAAAACTGCACCCAAGTTTTGAGTCAAATTTTAGCCTATTAACACATTTATACCATTCTTAATCACCTTCATATCTTTAAATACATATAGTCAAATCATAATCAAGCACTTAATTGGGTCAATTTCACTTATTTTAAAAAATTAATGTATTTCCGCACAAAATATGACCACTTTTCACCCTCTAATTCATAGTTTCTCCAGAAATGACAAAAAAATGAAGTTCACAAATACCCCGAAAGTAGTAAAATAAAAAAGTACTGATTATTTCCTGTCCATTGATGTATCATTCATGAAATTTGGACTATGAATGAAAAAGTTATAAGCCTTTATAATCCT